ANNNANNANAATTATTATTATTATTATTATTATTATTATTATTATTATTATTATTATTATTATGATTGAATTGACACGTACACATAAATACCAATACGAGTGTGTGTGGATACCAATTTTTTACCGTTGAATTGACACATATACTGTATACATACATATCCATACAAATGTCTGTTGATTCAACGGTAAAAAAATCGTTGAAGTCACTAGTTGTTGAAGACAAGTGAAGAAGTATACTTGAAGAAATATATATCATTTTACGTGTTTACTTATAATTTTTTTCGTTATTTACAAAAATACCGTCATCAATATAAAAGTCATAGTTAAATCATTCATAATTGACTCGTGAACCATATGAAATGCACAAATCAATCATTCATAAATAACGGAAGTAATTAATATAATTGCACCTAAAAAGAAACTTCGTAATTATACAAATAAAAAAGAATTTGCGCGTGAACCGCGTAATATTTTGAAAATTATAATGCATGCACACAACAATAAGCATTCATTTAGTCCAACCTTATGATTAAAAACACATCACATTATGCCCTTGAAGATAAAATCCTCTAACTAATCTTACTATAATCGAGTGAGTTAGGGATTTGGGGCAATGAACTTTGCCAACATATGGTCTATTCTCTGTAATCACATATTATAACAATCAATCATTTGAAGATATATTCAATGTTAATTGTTACGTTAACATTAAACTACGCGGTCGCTTATATTGATTTGAAGTTCCAATGATTGAAAAAATAATTATTTCCAAATAAAACAAAATGAAAAAAAAAAAACTAGTACATTGATTGTCCACAACTTTTAATTAATATATTTTTGACATATTTTTAACAAGAGAATACCAATATATATATTGACGAATATATGTGTGGCTAATAAAGTTTAATTTTTTCATAACTATAGCTACTTAAAGATACAATACAACAATTGCAGACTTGAGGGAGTCTAATTTTCTTGCGAATCGTGATTGAATTTCCCATTTATTAGTCATGAAAAAAATAAACAATTTCAACTGTCTCCATAAAATAGGTGACTTAAGAAATGGGAATAACTATTTCAGAAATCATTGGTATTGTTATATATATATCTCATATGGATGGACAAAAATGATATAAAAGTTAATGGGATGTAATTAACAAGGGCGCCACTTATAATTTGATTGTGGCTATTGTTGAGCCTAGTCGAGTCGAGTTGGATCGAGTATTAGACTGATTTTTTTTAAAAAATAAATGTTCGATCGACGAGTCAAACTTTTTTAGGTTCAATTGACTCGACAGAAGAACACAAGAACTCTACATCGACTAATATCTGATTTGCTTGATTTTTTTTTTAGTTCAACTCGAAATTTTAATTAAAAAAATGTTTATTGTACTTGGGCAGTTTTACGTATATGTGTGATTCATCGAGCAGTCGAATTTATAATAGAATGTGCCATCCAATAATTTCCTAAGGTACTTTTAGGAGCTGAATTTCATTCATCACTTTATACATATGTGAACTTCAATAATGACACTTAATGAATGATCTCAAATACATCCTTATTTCATTTTTTTAATTAAGTAATTTGTAGCTTAAGAGCATCCACAATGCCTTGGTTCAACCACAAAAAATTGTATGTCACCTAAAAAATAGTCCTAGTCTAAAAAAATGTATTCTTCAATGCAAACAAAAATAGATTGGGTAATGCTGATGTGACAGTAAAAAAAAAGTGACCCGGTCTACCCTTAGTTCTATTTTAGACCCAAGTAGAGATCTAGTCTCTTTGCATTGGAATGCATTTTATAAATTTTACATAGATTTATCCATGTCATTCAAGATTTGAATTTATTTACATGCCACATAAGCAAGACTAAATCCAATGCATTGTAGATGCTCTAAGATAAAACATAATAGATGAATAACAGAAATAAATTAGAGCTGTTATCATATTTCTACATCAATATGTATACAAAGAGAGGATTAATTATGTAGGCTAAGCTATCTAATCATTTTGTTAATTAGTTAAATTGTTAAATCATCTTAAAAGAAGATTTGCAGAGAGATGGATGGTGCACAAATTCATAATTGCCTAATAAGTCAGAATTACTGGCTTGCAAGAAATCCTTAGCTATTAATCTATTAAATAATATTTATTTTTAATTAGTGAATTGGTAGTTTACATAATATATGTAGTGATAGTTTATGTTGCTGTGACTAAAATTGATATAGAACCACCTGCTCCCTTCTTCCCGCTAAGTAAATAGGATCTAAAACATTGTGCTAAATTAAATAAATTACGTGTTTAAACCAGGGACATACATTGATTACAAAACTCATACATTTTCAATAAGTATATCATACTTGTAAACAAAAATGACATACTCTAAAAAATAATATAAACAGAAGTCAATATTTTATAATATAATAATGCATTTTTGTTAATAAAAACATGAAAGATCGACCCAAAGGTGAAGCACATCACAAAGAATTCGTAAGATAAATTATTTTTACCAAAACATATATAAATATTAGTGATTTGTTATATACATCATATTAAAAACTACTACATATCTAGTGCTTAAATAATATTAAAGTGATACAATTTATCGTATATTAACTAAAAATAATATTATAGACGTAATTATTTTGTATACATAAAACTAACATGCCATGCAATAATTATTCATAAAAATTTAAAAATTGAATGAAGTATTTACCATTTTATGTTGTTGATAAGAACACCTAAAAGAAATAATCCACGCGTACTTAACATATATAAAAATACCTAAATTTTTATTGACGTTCCACAAAAGCATACCTTAAATTTCATATGCCAATTTAGGTACCATATTTTTTTTTTTAAAAAAAAAAACCCTCAAATATTCGAATATTTTTATGGTTTATCTTCTCCAAAAGACACCTAAAATTGAAATGTAAACTGGGTGTGGATTGGGAGATTCATGGGAACTGGTTCGTCAACAGAGTAGACATAAAATTTATAGCTCTAATAACAATGGCACATTTATTAGAATTTCAGAAACTTTCATGGGCTCTTAGAACAATCTTCATCATAAAAAACCAGTTCCTTCTTCCCGAAATCATGGATTACCCTCTTGTTCGCCTGCTGATGCGTGCCGATGAGGGTCATCCCGTCGTCCCTCACCATCGCTAGACAAAAATACTGGCGGGCTCCGGTCCGACGCTGCCCCACAATCTCGAAGCCCGCCTCGGGTCCCACCACGAAATCCGCTTTTGTTCCCTTCAGATGAAACGTGATCTCCGGCAGCAGCCCGTCGAGCCCGCCGGGCCCGTTCCTTTCGTAGCATAATTCCAGACCCAGATTTCGTCCGAGCCTTTTCAGCCCCCTTTTGCTCGAAAAATAGTTTTCTAGCGCCTTTACCAGGATTTTGAACGCGGGCATTATGATTCTTGAATACGGCGTGCCCGTGTCGATGATGCAGCCGCCGGTGAAATTGTTGCTGTTGGAAAGAAAAACCTCGGGTTTTATGCGTAGTCTGTTTTTGTTGACGCTGATGTCTTGTAGAGCCACATAATATGGGCTGGTTTGGCCTGTTCTGAGTAGTGGGGTTTGGCTGGAGCTTTTGGGCTGCGGTTTTCCGTTGTCGCCTAATACCAGATAGGCGTTCGATGGTTTGCCTGTGAGAGATGGCAGGCAGTATGAAAATTTGCTGTTGATTTTCGGGCCCAGTTGTTTTACGAACGATTGATCCTCCCAGCCCATGCCGATTATTCCTGCAATCTTGTTGTTTCGAATCTTATCATATTGTATGACATTTTGCAGGCCGCAGCCGAATTGTATGTTTGGGAACTTTACCGATTTTCCGGTTTTGGACCTGAAATGGAACGTTTCGTGGGCCAGCACACCTCTTGTAAAGGCCCCATCTTGGTACTCGTAATCGTACTGTTTGGGCCCCTTCTTATCGAGAATGGGTCGACAGGAAGCAGAGTTTTTAGCGGGAAAAGGCTGTGGGGTTTGATTGAAACATTTCGTGCAGCCCTGACATTGGAGCCAGACAAGGCTGCTGCCCGTGTCCATTTCTAAGTAGTACTCTTTGTAAGGCGGGTCGGATTTGAATGTCCCAATCCCGATTTTCAAGATGTAGTGGCACTGTTGGGTCTCGATACGTGTTTCTGTTAAAAGTGGCTGTGTTTTGGATTGTTGATTGAATTGTAGATTGGATTGCAGAGCTGACCTTTTGATTCTCTCTTCATGGGTGAGATTATTTTGGTAAAAAAATGGCGATTCGGGCGAGTAGGGATGGATGATCTTGATTTTCAGGCCAGTGGATTTCACGAGAGCATTGTGTATTGTGAGTGTGAAGCTGGTGAGAAAAAATATTGATAGCAAGTTCACGACTTTCGCCATTGAGGACTTGCATTGTTTGTCTGTGCAGGATCTAAAGCTGTTTTATTCTTGGAGTGAGATATATTTGTGATTTAATATTCTTTTCCATGTATAATTAACATGTACTGCAGATAGGGTGTGATGACAAGCTCATGATTTAGGCGTGGCATAAATTTTCGTGCTTTTATACTATCTGCTAATTATGTCTAGCGAGCGGATACACATGATATGATGATCGATACATTTCAAAACATATCTTTCTTCGAGAGTTTATTATGATATGAAATACAAGTGTGTTTAAAAATTAGTACAAAGTAATTTACCATTCCAGACAAGTTATTTGATGGTGAAAGAAAATTTCTTCTGAGCTAAGAATGGTTTAATGATATGTTACTTCATCCAGGATTGTGGAAGTTTCAATCTTTATCCAACTTCATCTCTTTTAACTTTACCCTTTCCCCCCCTGCTTCATATTATAAAGAATAATTGTGATTACTGTCCTTGAATTTTAGCTTAAATGCAAAAAGGTACAAGATTTGCAATTGGAGTTTATTGATATATTGTCTACAGAGGAATGATAGCTAGTTAGGTACAGGTGCAAATCCAATTGATGCAAACATCATATGTTTTATTCGTGAAGTTGCTATTTTTAGCTCTCTAAAGCATCTCATGGGTTCTTAGAACAATCCTCCGGATAGAAAACCAGTTTCTTGTTCATTGTATCATGAATGATCCTATGATTTGTTTGTTGATGAGCTCCAATAACAGACATCTCATCATCCGAAACCATCGCCAGGCAAAAGTATTCTCGATTTCCACTAATGACCTCAAACACAGCATTAGGCTTCAAAACAAAGTCCGCTCGTGATCCCTGCAAATGGAAGGTAACATCCGGAAGATTCTTGAACCCTTCTCTTCCCTTGCTCCTCCTCGCATAGCATAATTCCAGTCCCGAATCATCTTTAAATTTTTTCAAGTCTTTGAATCTCAAAAAATACTTTTCTAACTCCCGTTTCAAAATTTCGAATGCAGGTGTTATGATCCTCGAGTAAGCCGTGCCCATATCAGTTATGCAGCCAGATATATGAGTACCCCTTTTGAATACAAACACTTGTGGGTCGATTTTGAGCCGGGTTTTGTTAATGCTAATGCCTTGCATCTCTACAGCATAAAACTCCTTTCCCCTTCTGTACAAAGGGGTACTTTTGGCTATTCTATGATTGGCTGTATAATTATAATCTCCAAATCTTAGATACGTTTTGGGTGCCTTTTCTGAAATTATAACCGGCAAGCAGTAAGAGAATTTTCCTTTGACTTCCGGTCCGAGTTGGTTGACCAGTGACAAATCGCCCCACCCAATTCCCATTATTCCAGCAATCTTGTTATTTTTATACTCTCCGTATTCCATTACATTGTCCAAACCACACCCGAATTGCACGTTTTCAATTTTCTCTAATCCTTTCTTTGTCTTGAAGTAGAAAGTCTCGTGGGCTAGAATGCCGCTCGTTATATCTCCATCTCCATAAACGCTCACATAACCTAATTGATTGCCTTTTTCGATAAGGGCTCGAAAAGAGGAAGATTTTTCTTTGGGAAATGGGATTTGTGTTTGGTTGAAGCATTTTTTGCAGCCATTGCATTGGAGCCATGTGAGGCTACTTCCGGTATCTAAGTGTAAGTAGTACTCTTTGTATTGGGGTATCGACTTGAAAGTTCCAATTCCGATTTTTACAATGTAGTGAAAGAGTTGCACTTCAACATCCGCTTGCATGATTGGGGACTTTTTACTGAAGTAATTGGCTCGTATTATGGTCCGTGAGGCTAAGAATTTGATTCTTTGCTCATGAGAAATGTTCGTTTCGAAAAAAAGCGAATCGGATGAGTATGGATTTATAAGTTCTATTGTGAAGCCATTGGATTTGACAAGGCTTATTTCATGTAGTGCAAGGATTATGGTAATGAATGTGAAGACTGGCAACAGTGCCATTGCTAGTGAATTTGTTTGAGTTTTGTTGGATTATGTTAGCTCGGTATCGAGCCATTTTTCTTATAGTAAATCGGTACCATATGGTTTATTTTGTGTATTTTCCACCCTTGAGTAGAATTTAATGCAATTTTTCACCTAGAATTTATGATGTTCTTATCATTGGGGAAACTAAAGGTTGGTTGGGATATATATGTATTGATTGATACACAGGTGATTTTCATCCTTTCTGGGATTACTGTTTAGATATAATTTTTCATTAATCGATTAAATTGCGATTTATTCCAGTGAAGCGTCTCGATTCTTTGCTCATGTGAGAGTTTAGTTTGGATGAAAGGCGAGCCGAACGAGTATGAATGTATAAGTTCTGTTGTGAAGCTAAAGAGTGGTAACAATGTTGAGAGTTTTTGCCATTGATAGGCAAAAGTGTGTGTTGAATTGTGTTGGTTTATGTTTGCTTGGTTTCAAGCCCTTTTCATAGTTGATTAATTCATATCATATGATTTATATAGATTTTTCCATTTTCTATTTTTGTCATCTGTTATTTATAATGTTATGATCCTCTTGAGATAAAGAAAGATGAATTGGATATTTCAAATAGGTGTGGAGAAATGATTGCTTTAAAGATGGTGGTTGGTGAATAAGTAAGTGAAAAGGCTTTTGTGAGCTTGACTATTTTATTCAATGAACTCATACGAGAAAATAAGAAAGAATTGTTCACGAACAAACTCAAATAAACTCGTTTAATAAACATGTTTGATTAGCTCGAGCTCATACAAAGGAGTTGAACTCGAACTTTCACGATGAAATTTTTGGTTTGATTATTCTACATGCAGAGACAAATGCATGCAATCTTTCTTCTTCCTGTAGTTTTTAGCAAAAAGATATAATAAATAAATAAATAAAAAGAGGATTTCTTTACTCTTCACTGTGCGATCACTGAAGAAGATGAAAAGACTGCAGGAACTTAATCATCTTATTCAATAAAATTTGGACACAAATCTCTGCAAAAACATCTCAAACATTCTTGGAACAATCCTCCGGATAGAAGAGCAACTTCTTCTTCTCCATATCATAAGTAATCGCTTGATTCGTCTGCTGGTGAGCTCCAATGGTGGACCTCTCCCTATCCCGCAACATCGCCAAGCAAAAAAACTCGCGGGTCTCGAAAAACATGCTAGATCTGATAAAAATCTCGAACGCCGCCTCGGGCTTCAAGACGAAATCGGCCTGCGACCCCTTCAAATGGAAGGTGATTTCTGGTAGGTTTCTGAAACCCTCGGGCTTGGTCCTCTCGTAGCACAATTCGAGACCCAAATCTCTTTTAATTCTCTTCAAGCCCTTCGATTGCAGAAAGTGCTTTTCTAACCCCTGTTTCAGGATCTCGAACGCGGGGCTCACGATTCGTGAGTAAATCGTGCCTGAGTCGAATATGCATCCTGTTCTGCTGTTGCTGTTCTTCACTGCGAACACTTGTGGGCTGATGTTGAGCTTAGCCCTGTTGATGCTGATGCCAAGCATTTCCACATAGTAAAGGTCTTTATTTTTTATTCTGAGCAGTTGGGTGCTTTTGGTGAGTTTGATTTGGACTAAGGCTTCATCGCCAAATCTTAGATACGTGTTGGGTGCTTTTCCCAAGTTTATACGAGGCAAGCAGTATGAGAATTTGCCTTTGCTTTTGGGTCCGAGCTGTTTGACGAACGAGTTGTCATCCCAGCCGAGTCCCATTATTCCGACAATCTTGTTATCTTTGAGTTTGCCATATAATATATTGTTTTCCAGACCACACCCGAATTTTATGTTTTCGATTTTCGCCAGCTCGGATGTTTTGGTCTTGAGGTAAAATGTTTCATGGGCCAAGATGCCGCGAGTGCTGTCCCCATCAGTGTATTCACACTCGTAGAATGTTTGCTTGCTTTTATAAGTAATCGGGCGAAAAGATGAGGAATTTCCTTTGGGGAATGGCTTCGGTATTTGCTTAAAGCACTTTGTGCAGCCCTCACATTGAAGCCAGACCAGGCTGCTTCCCGTGTCCATTAATAAGTAATACTCTTTGTACGGCGGTTTTGAATTGAAAGTTCCAATCCCGATTTTGACGGTGTATTGAAGGAGTTGCACTTCAAGGTCGGCTTGTATGGTTGATGACAACATGTTGGAGAAGTAATTGGGGTGTGTGTTGGATTGGGTAGTTGAAAGTTTGATTCTTTTTTCGTGAGAGAGATTGGGTTGAAAAAAAGGCGATTCGGGCGAGTATGGATGTATTAATTCTATTGTCAGGCCATTGGAGCTGACAAGAGTGATGTTTAGTGGTGCAAGGACTATGGTGGTGAAGCTAAGGAGTGAAAACAAACTTGGTATGTTTATCATTGTTAATCAATATGTTGGACTCTGTTGTATGATTGTATCATCTCTGCTTATTCTTGAAGTCTTTTTATAGTTGAATTTGATATCATGGTCATTTAGTAAAATTTTCCATTTTTCTGAAGAGTATAGTTCAATGCTCTCATCTGTAATATATGATGACTATCCTGAGGATAAATAAATTTGGGTGGATGCTTATCTGTTAATGCACAAGCAATTTCATCCTATTGAAGATTGGGATTATGTAGTGATTACTTTTTTTTATTAATGATAAATTGGGGTTGGTAGTAAACATTTTGCTTTTTGAGGAAAGTGCTTTATCCCCATTGAGGCAACAAATTGTTAGGTTTTAGAAGTTGGTAGTGTTTGGGAAATAGAATTAGGAAACTGATACTGTCTCATAAGATAGTTTAGTCTTTGGTGGATAAGTTGTAAAAACGCTTTGTGATGGTGTCCCAAGGGAGACAAAGAGGTAGAGTGCACGCTTATCTATTAATGCACAAATAGGGGGAATTTACTCATTTCCGTGAAAAAGCAAAAACTAGTCGAGAGAAGCTAAAAAGTGGTTTTGTTAAAGACATGGTTTATGTTTGCATAGACTGTGGTATTGTGATTGTGAGTGAAAATAGCAGAAGCAGGACGAAAAATCTGAAGTACCCCCTGTTTCTAGTTCTGATTAACAGAGATAAAATTTAAAGAATAATGTTGCATTTGCAAACACTAAGATAACCAGTGTAGTTGTTACTTGGACTTCATTTGCCATTTGTTTATACCTCCTTGATTTCTTGCGGTTCTTTGTTTTTTTCGTTGTTATTTTTGTGTTTTAATCCCTACAGAAGAATACAGAACTTGAATTTATTCTATCAAATATCAATATAGCTTTCCCAAAAACAACTCATGGATTCTTGGAACAATCCTCTGGATAGAAAAGCAGTTGCTCATTCTTTGTATCATGAATGATCATATGATCAGTCTGCTGATGTGATCCATTTGTCGACTTCTCAATATGCCGAATCATTGCCAAGCAGATGTATTTGTAGGACCCTAATAAATGAAATCGGCTAAAGGTCGCAAATGCAGCCTCAGGCTTCAAAACAAAATCCGATCGTGAGCCCTGCAAATGGAAAGTAATATGAGGTAGATATTCACGCGCTTCTTCCCTGCTCCTCTCGTAGCACAATTCCATTCCGTGATCACCTTTGATTTTCTTAAAGCCGCCCATCGATCTAGAAAAGTACTTCTCCAACTCTACTTTCAATACTTCGAATGCAGGTGCCACGATCCTTGAAAAAGTCGTGCCTGAGTCAATTATGCAGCCTGTTCTTCTACTGCTGTTCTTGACTGCAAACACTTCTGGGCTGATACCAAGCCTGGACCCGTTTATGCTAATGCCTTGCAAATTCACATAATATGCACCAGTTTTTCCCTTTCTGTACAATGGGGTACTTCTGTAATTTCTATTATAGACAACATCACTTCCAAATCTTAAATATGCACTTGGTGTCCTTCTTGGATCTCTAACAGGCAGGCAGTAGGAGAATTTTCCGTTTGATTTCCAGCCGAGTTGTTTGACCAAAGATAGATCATCTCATCCGAGCCCCATTATTCCTGCAATCTGGTTGTTTCTAATGTTCCCATATTTCATTTTATTGTACAAACCGCACCCAAATTGTATATTCTCGATTTTCGCTAATTTCCCTGTCATTGTCTTAAGGAAAAAAGTCTCCTGTGCTAGTATCCCGTATGTAGAGCTTCCATCTGCATACGTGGTCTTGTAACTTACTTGCTTGTTTTCATGGATAATTGGGTGAAAATACGAGGACTTTTCCTTTGGGAATGGCATTGGTGTTTGGTTGAAGCAATAAACGCAGCCATCACATTGAAGCCAAATCAAGCTGCTTCCTGTGTCCATAACCATGTAGTACTCTTTGTATGGAGGTGTGGTGTTGAATGTCCCTATACCAATTTTGATGATGTAAGATAAGTGTTGCATATTGATTTGGGCCTGGACAGAGGAAGATGACGTATTGATTCTTTTTTCATAATCGAGTCTAATTTGGGAAAAAGGGGATTCTGGCGAATGTGGATGGATCAATTTTACTGTCAAGCCGTTGGAGTTTGTTAGAGCAATGTTTAGCAGTATAGTTATTATGTTAGTAAGGGAAAAGAGTGTCATGATTTTTGGTGTTTTTGACATTGTTAATCAAAGTGTTTGATTTGCACAATTTTCTTTGTGCTATGTTTCATTGCCCTTTTATACTTGCATGGATATTCTAGCCATTAAGTGTTTTTTCCCCATGTAAAAGTAGAATTCAATGGGAAGCTCATATGCCATGACGTGATGTTGCTATCTAAAACTGATATTGTATCACATGAGTGCAAAAGTAATGTAAATCCATTCTTATCTTCAGAAAAAGAACCTTTTTCTTTTCTTTTCTTTTTTTTTTTGGTGAATTATACTTCAAATGAAATAAACCAGTTACTTCTGTGTGTGTCTGTGTGTTTTCCGCCTTTCCCTGTACTCCCCTGATGCAATTATGTGAATATTGTGAAGAACAGAGAAATTTAAACAACTTCTTAAGAGGAAACATCCACGTAGAAAAGCGGATGATTTTGTTCCATTATCATTTATAAACTGTCGTCGTATCTTTTGTTATGATCATAATAAACTAATTAATTCATTTGAAAGTATCTCCAGGCAAAGTGAAAAACAAATATTTTTCTCCCCACACATAGTTTTGATGCTTCTTGGGATCTTATACAGATCCACTTGATGAAATGTTTTCTTCTATATTCCTGAAAATTCTATTACAACCCTCTAAAATCTTCCTCATGGATTATTGGAACAATCCTCCGGATAGAAAAGCAGTTCATTATTCTTAGTATCATGCGTAATCCTATGATTTGTCAGCTGATGAGATCCAATAACAGATCTCTCTTCATCCCGAATCATCGCTAGACAGAAATACTCGCGTGACTTCAATAGACGAAGTTGATTGACGACCTCAAAACCTGCCTCGGGTCTCAAAACAAAGTCCGCTTGCGATCCCTGTAAGTGTAAGGTAATATCAGGTAGATTCTTGAACCCCTCCCGTTTGCTCCTCTCAAAGCATAATTCCAAACCCAGATTGCCTTTAATCTTCTTCAAGTTGCTCTTTGATCTCGAAAAGTACTTTTCTAACTCCAGTTTTAATATTTCAAATGCAGGGGCCACGATTCTTGAATAAGGCGTGCCTGTGTCGATAATGCTACCCGATCTTCTGCTATCGTTCTTGAACGCAAATACTCCCGGGTGAATATTAAGACTTGTCCTGTTGATGCTAATGCCTTGAATTTCAACATGATAATGGCTCGGTTTGCCCCTTTTGTATAAAGGGGTAGTCTTGGAACTTTTGTTGTGGGCTATTATTGCATCTCCAAACCTCAGATACGAATTGGGTGCTTCTTTACCCGAGATCACAACTGGCAAGCAGTAAGAGAATTTGCCTTTTGATATATTCCCAAGCTGTTTAACGAAAGATATATCTTCCCACCCAAGTCCCATTGCTCCTGCTATCTTGTTCTTGCTAAAGTCCCCGTATTGCATTTTGTTGTTCAAACCACACCCGAATTGTACGTTTTCAATTTTTGCTAAACCCCCCTTGTTTGTCTTGAGGTGAAATGTCTCACGGGCCAGAATGCCTTGAGTTGTGTCTCCATCGTGATAATTCGACTTGTAAAATATGTAGTTATTGTTTTCGATAACCGGGCGAAAAGATGAGGAATTTTCTTTAGGAAATGGGGCCGGTGTTTGCTTGAAGCATTTTGTGCAGCCATTGCATTGAAGCCAAATCAGGCTGCTGCCCGTGTCCATTTCTAAGTAATACTCCTTGTATGGCGGTTTGGTTTTGAATGTACCGATTCCAATTTTGACAATGTACTGAAAGAGTTGCACATTGATTTGTGCATGCGTGGATTGCGAAGCTAACATTTTGATTCTTTCTTCAGGATGCAGTTTACTCTGGTAAAAAGGCGATTCGGGCGAATTTGGATGGATCAGCCTCATTGCCAAGCCATTGGAGTTTCCAACAGTGTTTTTTCCTAGCACAAGTATTAAGATTGTAATGAAAACGAGTGACAAAAAGGTTGGTGTTTTTACCATTGTTAATAATCATCAAAGTGTTTGATTTTGCATAATTGTGTTTGTGTAGTCTGGCGCCCTTTTATACTTGCATGGATATTCTGGCCAATAATTACTTTTTTCCTATCTGGAAATAAGATTCATTAGGAAGCTTATCTGCTGTCCCATGCTTTTTTTTCTTCTAATACAAAACCGATAGTCACATTAGTGTGTAATTAATGTTTCTGTACTTGGTTATCTTGACTATATATGTTGTGTAAAATTGATGTTTCAACTTGGTTATCAGGGTAAATGCACAAGTATCCAATCTTATCTTGAGAGTACAAATACGAAGTTTTGTTATGGTGAAGGCTGCATACTAAGAAACTTAACCATCTTTAGAGCAATTATCTGTGCTGAAAAGCAGATGCTTTTCTTTCGTATCGTAAATAAACCTTTGGTTGGTTTGTTGATGCGACCCTAAAACACTGATGAAATCGCTTGGAATTATCGCCAAGCAAAAATATTCGCCTTTGTTCGAACTAATCTTGTCCATCACTAGAAAGAGTTCTTCCCGTCGAACCACGAGATTAGCATTCTTGAAATGTAAAGTCATGCTGGGGAGACTCTTATACCCTTTTTGCCTTTTCATCTCGTAGCATAGTTGAAACCCTTTAGGCCCTTTTTATGCCTTCAAGTCTCTTTCTCCCCTGAAATAACTCGTCAGTGTTTTTTCCAACACTATATAAGCTGGCTTTATGAGCCATGAGAATGGTGTCCCAGAGTCTATTATGCAGCCTCCCGTGCCATCATCTCTTAATCTGAAATCTTGATCCGAAACTTTGAGCTTCTTGTTGTTGATGCTTAAGTTCCCGTGCCATCATCTCACAATGGCGTCACACTTAAGTTCCCTCTTTTTACTACATCCTGCCCGAATCTTAAACATGTATTATTAGGCCATTCATGGGTATAATTCTTGATGGCTGGAAGACAGTAAGAAAACTTACCTTCTGTTAACAAGTTGGCCTGATCGAGAATCGAATATGAACCCCATCCGAGTCCCATTATTCCGGAAAATTTATTATCTCCATTGTCACCGTAATTCTTCCGGTTATCCAACCCACAGCCGAAAACCAGGCTTTTCAAAACCTCGATTTTTCCAAATCGGAACTAAACGCAAAATTTTCAGATGCAAGGACACCCGATGATGAGGAACCATCTAAATATTTTATATTGTAAGAACAAGAACCGTTGATGCACTGATTCGGCACACATAGTCTATGCTTATCACAAATGAGGGGATGGTAAGAGCTCGACCCCTGATTTGGGTAAACGGGCTCTTTCTGCAGGAAGCATCTGCCACCAGGTCCCCGACACCCCTCACATTGCAACCAAAGCAAATCACTGCAGTATCCATGTACAAATTGTATGACTTGAATGATGGATGAGAAGTTCCCGGCTTGACACTGCCGTTGCCGATTTTTACCATTTAGTGGTAAGGATATTGTATAGCAACTTGGGGACGAACTAAGTTCGGGTTCGTGTTGCGAGATATGTCGAGTTGGTGTGGCGGTCGTAAAATTTTTTGTTCTTGAGTTAGGTTTTTGCTTCGAAAAACAGGCAACTCGGAGGATTCAGGGTGGATAGTGGCTAGTTTTATAGCTGCATTAGCCTGTTAATTTTCAATAGAAGGACTTTATGATAATATTCCACAAAAAGGATTTCAGATGGCCAAGAATAGGTGCATTGACAAGAATTAGCTAATTTTGGTTATGGTGTGCAAAGGACCTCCAGCGGGTAGAACGATCTTGGGTCCGCTCACGTCCGGTTCAAAGACTTGTAAAATGAGTCGGAAGGTGTTCCCGGCGTTAGCACTTAAACGGTCAAGTCAGTCCACAGTGATGAAGATGATGAACAATACATATATAAGCTTGTAAGTATATTAGTGTGTGTAGTTTGGATTGTCATACCTCACCCCTTTATATAGGGGTATTATCTTGTTGCCTAAGACTATCGAGATGGGCTGTTCGAGTGCTAGAACTGCTCGTTCGTACTGCCCAGGTGCTCGAATTGTCAAATTCTGTTTGACCATGTTATCCAATCCAAGTGGGTTCTTATAATAATGATATTCCTTAGTATCCATTGGTCAACCTTATTAGATGGTCTAATCATACGACTGGTTCGACCTTCCTTGAGCTAGATTACCTCTTTGTTACTCGTGTTGTCCTTCTGGTCTACATACCTCAGGTCGAGTTTCTAATAGGTCATCCGAGTTAGGGCCTAGCCGAGTCGAGCACTGACGCTCGAGATCAACTCGACAAAAGAGACAATTGCTCTAGCTCAGTTCGAGATCGATGAAATCAAAATGCTCGAAAGATTGCTCGAGCTCGGCTCGACCTTCCAAAATCTATGCTCGAGATCGACTTGATAACATGCTTGAGCCGCTCGAGCTCGACTTGAGTTAGGTTAAACTCGTGATCGAGTGAGCTTTGACTCGAGCACTCGCGCGTTTGCAGCCCTAATCCGAGTGCTCTACTTCAACATGTAGGCGAGAGAGTCTCCTTGTCAGCGAAATCACCATCGACATGGTGTTTTGTCGACCTCCCGTATTTTCGGTCTTTGTACGACTTGCCGGTTCACCTGGTTTAGTTGTGAAATGAAGTACGGAAATTTACATTAAATTAAATTTGTTTGTGGGAAAGAATGGGAGATATTGGGAATTTCTTTGCCTGTGATTTTTTTTTCATTAATTAAAAATTCCCGTTTTCGGTGGCGAAAAAGCAGTCTCAAGGGCGAGGGCTATGATTGAGGAGAAAGTGACGGGTTTTAAGACATGAAAATTTACACACATGGAAAATAAATATCAGCACCTCCTTGTAAGAGATGATATCCTTGTTTATTACACAGCATATTTGTAGAAATGTATTTTGGGTTGACCCAAATAGTAATCTCTGTACTATCTGCAAATCTGTAGATATGTATTTTGGGTTCATCCAAATAGTAATCTCTGTACCATCTGCACCAATCATGTAGTTAATAAGGAGTGACAAATCACATTTGTGTTTTGGAAGTAATACATTTTTCTTAGGCTAATGAATGTGAAAGGATAATACTCTTTATTACAAGAAGCTCAAGTTACAAATTGCATATATACAAAGCTACAGACATAAATACATCATATAAGCGTACAACATATGTTCTTATATACATCCCAAGAAATTAAAGCAATACACCATAATTTTTTTTTTTTAAAAAAAAAACCACACAAATACATTACTATCTACCTCTCATCTCTCAAGTTTACAGAACATCCAACAATTTTTATGCCAACACTTTCTGCTAACACCGGCTCAAGAATGGAATTTTTTTCCGAACAATCTGAATCATCATCACATTGAAAAATCCTAGCGGTCTATCTTTGCAAAACGACCCTTTATCCTCGTCCTAGTCTCTGCTCGTGCCTTTCTTGATTCATACCTTATGTGCTTGTCATATCTGTTCACATCACATCACTTCACACAGTTATTATTACAAGTCCTCGATAAAACAGATATACGTAAGAAAGTATCCAAAGAAATTTGTAATGCTGTGTTAAAAAGGACTCAAAACGAGAAGACGAGTGGATTCGAGACTTTGAGTTTGAGACGAACAATAATTTTATTTAATACCTCCTAGTTTTCTTTTTTTCTTTGTACCGCGAAATTGCAGAGTCCCGCTCTTGAGTGTTCAATTCACGAGCTCCCACTGCATGAAGCATTTGGGGAGTCTTTGAATCGAGAGGATTGTGCCATTGCATTTCAAGAACTTCATCTGCAACACATTTATCTTCAATGTTGTTCAAATCCTCGTCAGGGACCAAATGGTTCATCTCGTCAAAGCCATTAAGGACCGTTGGATCAAAACTTTCGTCCAAAACCCCACTAGCGAAATCGGTCCAATTGGGTACATTTGCCTGCAAATCACCAACCAAGAAAAATCATGTGCCGAATATTCCCCCCTGTTCTCACACTCAAATATTACATCTAATATTTCAACTTCAATAATGAAAACATACATTAACATTCTATATTATGAGAGATGCTATACCTCATAAGAAGAAGCTGATATGGGCTCGGTTTTGTTCCGAAAGGGAGGAATACTATCCGACAACTGGCACTTTCCAGGTAATTGCGACTGAATTCCCACATGGAGTTTGAGGTCTTCGAGAGAACCAGTGAAGTATGGATCATTTTTCGCCATCTCCCGAAGCTGGCGAAATACTTCTTCCTTGTCTTTGCCACATGCCGCATTACGGTTCTAATGGAATCAATAATATTCAAGAGATTAACAATTGGCAGAAAGTATAAAAGAGAAAAACAAGCACAAACAGCAAACAACATTTAGTCTTTGCAGAGGATATAAATCGAACAACAAATCACCAAGAGAACCATCACAAACAGACATCATGCAACAATAATTAGCCACAAGAGTTGATTCAAAGTTCAAACACATGATGAGTTCAAACATATCATACACGTACTGTAATTTATTATCAAAACCGCAGGGTTTGGAAAGGCAATTTTTAATCGTAACTAAATCTATCTGTCAGCTAATCAAAATTTAACAGTGCCTCCTCATCTTCATACTGCCATTAACAGAACTTATCACCTATATGCAACAAAGGACCTATATACAACACAGAAGAAACCATCCATGCCCAAAAATGGAAAACATATAAATGAAAATCTTTCAACCTCATAATACTGAGAAACAACAAATCACAAGCTCAACAAGGAAAAGAAGAACACTAACACTTTTTTTTTTGCCCCAGAAAACTTAGTGAAGAAACAAACCGACCTTCGGCAAAGGTGGGACCCCCAGAGCCTGAAAACTCCGGCCACCATCCACACAATCACCGGCAACCACCAAATCATCCAAGCTCACGATCGATGGCGTCTCCCAAACCAGAAAATCCAACAAATCCTCGTCCCGCCCACAACCACCAAGGCCCAGACCTTTTTTCCCCAAATCCTCCAACCCTAGAAAACCCAACAGCTCGCTCACGGAAGGGCACCCGCTGAAACCCTCGACCGGCCTCCGATCGTGAATCGACCCGGAGACCCGGTGGGTCTCCCAGTCACAGTTCTGGCAGAGCACGGCGGATTCGGTGCAGCAGAAGATCGAGGACGGAGAAGAACTGCACGAATTGCAGAGGAGGGACCGCACGTGCTTCCTGAAGAGCGGGTTTGTGGAGTGTACCTCGAGGTCGCAGCTGAAGCAGAGCTTGGCCGAGTCGGCGCGACAGTAGAGTAAAGCTAGAGATTCTTCACAGAAATCGCACAACTGGTTGGTTTTCTCGCCGGAAACGTGGTTTTCTTGGTCCGGTGCACTCATGGCGGAGAATTTTTTTTTTCCTTTTTCCCCACTTTTTTACCCTTTTTTTCTTCTGGGGTTTATGTGATCATTTGATGGGTTTGGATTTGCAGCAAATGATGATCAAAAGATGGGATTTTAAGTCTGGGTTTCAGTGCTGTGGCTCTGTAGTGTGGGGGAAGAGAGTGGAAAAAAAAGAAGGCAATACCTTATCGCTTTTTCACGTGTTTTTTGAGACGCAGGAAATTTGTAGAAGATGAGCAATAAATGTGTGCCAAACAGCGTATTATAAAGTTCATTAGTGTGGGATTAAATATTTTTCAATCCTCATTTATTTATTTATATATATATATATATATACACTTTATTTATTTGTTTATTTATTTTTATTTTGATAAATGGAGCTTTATGGTTCAAGAAAAATTTTTCTTTCCTAAAAAAAAGGAAAGTGTGTAAAACAGGCTATTAATGATATATTAAAATTGAAAAATAATCAAGTATATGCTAAAAAAAACTAGGTAAACCTCATTTGTTTGAAGAAAAAGATCAAATAAATTATGAAATTAGTATACAATTTCCAGTATTTTATGAGCTCTAAAATTGAAAATATAAGACATAAAATAACCAGGTATCAAATTAAAACTTGCTCAATAAGATGAAGAATTCAAGTGTTAATGGATCGAACAACGGTTAAAGGAAACGAGTCGCTCGTGCTAAAGCTTGAGACTGAGAATTTTTATGTAATTTTTTATTGTTTGATTCAGAAAGATTTGAATTTGACTAATTAAGACTTGAGCTTGACTTGTTAATATTGATAAGATGAGTGAAGCTTGAGTTTGAAATTATTTATTAACTCGTCTTGTTAAGTCTCAAAGAGCTCAAATTCGAGTATTATAAATTCAACTTGACTCGCCTCTAGCTGATGATCTTAATTGCATATTTTGTTTAGCTAAAGCAATAAGGTATATATTTTTAACAAATTTATTGATCTACAAAGGTCATGCTTCATCATAATATAAATGATATTGCAAAATTACTGCATACATGATAAAACTATATAACTATTTTACCGTTTACATTACTTTAAAATAACCTCCACTGAATATCTTTTCCAACTTTACGTCAAATCTTTGTATCAAAATATTTAATTTCATGATTTAAAACCATTTTTTAAGAAAATAATGACTTCAAATGAACAAATTATTCGGATAAATGGGCCACCTTTACCAAAAACACCTTCGAAGAGGAACTGGAAAATTTGGAGTCGTCTATCAACAAAATAAATAATGAACAGGGTTTGGTCCCTCACTCTTTTAGGTGTACAAATCACCAGAAAAATTGACTCTACACGAATTAAAAATATTTTCTTTCTTTTCTTGTTGCCCAAGCTCAATAATTAATATGTACTACATAATTAATTCTCTAACAAAGACTTAATATGGCCCTCTTACATAATTTATTATGCATTTCTCATTTTATATTGGTTAATTATTCATAATTTTTCAACACACACACGCGCACACACACACACATATATATATAAACTGAAATGTGATACTTTAAAAAATAATTTAAATTAAAGTATAACATTTCACAATATAAATATTTATTAATTAAATAAAAAAAGGAAAGAGTGGAATTTGTGTTCTTTTTATTATTTTATTTTGTAAGTTTTTAGTTTTTTTATTAAATGTTATGGTGCTCAGGTATTTTCTGTTTTTCTCTTCTTAATTTTAGAGATTTTTTTTATGTTATTTAATATTTTCAAGTTTTCCTTTTTTCAAGAACCTTTTAGTGAATTTTAATCGTTATAACTATTTTTCTTAAAATACACTTATTTTTATGGGTGCATTGAAAATATTTGGTGAGATTTCGATGTACTTGATGACAGATAAAAGAAATGTAATAGTCTTCATTTATGGGTTGGTAGCATGTAACTATCAAGATTTTTCGCATGTTCAGAAAATTTGAAAAAATAAATAAGTATAATAATATTCCCGACTATCATATTTTTATAGGTAATAGGTAAAATCTGATTTTATTGAAAAACTATTGATGAAAAATAAAACACCCATATTCTCTGAGACAGAAATTCTGAAGCCCTTAAGCAAATAATCAGTCAATTATAAGTAAAAAAAAAAAAAAATGTAACACAACACCGAGATTTTAAAATTACACAAGACAAATATGTCACACCTAAATCCAGAAACTAAAAGATAGAAATTGGTATTGTAAGTCACGCATAAATCCAGAAACTAAAAGATTGAAGTACAAAAATANAAGACTTCATATTCTGTTTTATAATACATTTTTTTTTTTTAATTTCCAAAATTCACTTCTAGTATTTAATTAATCACAAATTAGGTGTAAGTTGCTTGTTGCATAGCATAAAGAACTTCCAAATGACAAAGATCAACAAGCCCAAAAAACAAAAATGGATAAAAGATAATAGGAAAAAAATAAACACAATTTGATAATATCATCCAATCTAAGTGAATATAATTTGCTGAATGACACGGTTTCTAACCAGCTACCTTTGCTGATTATCCCCATTTGTGATCACACGAGTGTTGTACGAATTACAATTCCCACATTTGTGGCCGAAAATGTGAAAGAATGCCATGCTTCTGTTGTTGCAGTCATTGCAAAGTATTTGAACCTGTTCCGGTTAAGTTGAACTTCAGATATAATCATATACAAAACCACAAGTAGAAGTTTACCCAGAAAAAAATGGAAGGAGAAAAAAAAAAAAATCCGGCCCTTTCAAAAGCATTAGCATTAACTTGAAATTTAGTTCTAGTTGACATATAAACACAAGCAGACGTATGATGAAGTTGATTCGAAAAATCAAGGAAAATGAAATTGAAATTAACTTACTTCATAACGATATTCCTGAGGCATTGGAGTAGCTTGGACCTATTTTTTTATAAAATAAATTCAAAAAACAACAAAACAAAAGAATCAGTCTAGATTAACTATAAAAGAGTGAGAGTCTTTATTTTCATACATCAAGTTATTTTTTCAGATTTTTCTTACAGAAAATTTACGATCCTGAAACATGACTGTTCATGAAAATTATGTAAGAATATCCGATTCGGCCACTTTCAAAGTTTTTCAATAAAACATATTCTGTTTTAGATGGAAAGGAAAGTAAGATAAAAATATACCTCCTGGTCTAATCTTTCCCAGGTTCTAGACATATTCAAGACTGACTTGGAGCAGATTGGACAACGATATCTGGAAAAAAGAATAAAATAAATCAGAACATAAAAATGAAAGGTTTATTTCAGAAAGCCAATAGAAAAAAAGAAAAAGTAAATGGGACAGAGAAGAAGGACGAATGAATGTACTGGTTTTGGCTGAACATCTCTTCATAACACTCCACATGCATCGTATGCCCACACTTCAAAATCGTTGTTTGTTTGGTCGAGTCAAACAGAAACTGCACGAAAAAAAAAAGGACATATATTTATTCCACAGGCATGAGTGATGAAACTGCATTAATATAAAGAAAATTCTTAGTTAAAAGTAAGTACCAACCTCATAACAGATGGGACAATGGTTCTTCATCGAGTCTTCAACACACAAATGGTTATTTCGAAGACCTACCGAATAGCAAGATCCTACATGTGCAAAGATAATGTCATTCAAGAAAACATGCTCCTTAATGTTCTCAACTATAACTTGAAAAGCATCTCATCTTATGAGAATACCACATAACAATCGGAAAAAAAAAGCCCCAACTCAGAGATATCATTAGGTTACATAGAGCAATATTACACATTACACATTACAAGAACAAACCAAGCAAAAATATTTCAACTGCTTACCACACTTTGGGCAGTGAAAGTAGTTCTCTCGACCGCCAACTCTGATAATTAAAGATTATGTCAAAAAACAAACACCTATAAAGAGTCAAATCATACAAACCACAGTGAAAATACAGAGCTCTTACCTACAAATGCCACATTCATTACAATGAAACTGCTCTTTAGCGATCTGTCACATCAAGTTCCCCAAGTCATTACACCAACAAGTATAGCGAAACCCAAATTGATTCTAGAAGATATGCTTCATTTTTCCATTTTGGGTGCTTTCTTTTTTCTTTTTTTCTTTTCGGTATGTGTGCTATTAATGGACTAGATCAAAATGACTCAATTAAATTCTAGTGCTTCTTCTATTAGTGAAGTTTCTAGAAAAAAAAAATATATCAAACGGCGCAATGCACCTTGGGTCGTTACGGAAACAGCCTCCTTGTATAATTACAAGGGTAAGGTCTGCGTACAACTGACCCTCCAGACCCCAACCTGTTGGGAATATATTGGGTATGTTGTTGTTGTTGTTGTTTTCGGTATGTGTGCGTGCCAAAGAAGTATAATAATGAGAAAAAAAAACTTACGTCGTCATCGTAAAATTTGCATATATCACAAAAGTATTCTCCGAACTTGATGCCACAATTCGAACAAATCCGAGCAACCTTATCCACGAGAAAACAAGCGCAAAACCACATCACCAAAAGCATTCAAAGTACTAAAAAACAACAAAAAAAGAACACATCAAACCGAGAAGAGCAAATGAATGACAGACAATACCTCCTGTTCGGCATCACATACTGCACAAACAACCTAGAATCATGCAAAGTCAATTGATCAAAACCAACACTAAACATCAACAACCATCAAACAAACAAAACATATGAGTAAATGGAATTTACTCGCTTTACATCCTGGCGGACGATTTCATGCCTTTCTTTCGGATTGCTCAAAGCACTCTACGAAAAAAATTCAAAAAATAAAAAATAAAAACCCTCGAATACAATCATAAAATGAAATTAAGGAAAAATACCCACAGCCCAAAAAGAATAACTTACAGTGGCTTCATTGTGACAGTGACGACAAGTGAAAACCTTGTCGCAACAAGGGGCTCTGATTTTGCACCGTCTCCTATAATGCTCGCATCTGACACGAAAGCAAAACAAAATTCAAGTTATTTTACATTTTTTCCATCACATACAGAAATTAAATGAAAACCAAACAAATAAACGATGAAAATTCGAAAAAAAAAAGGGGACAAACCCATGAAGCATTTTCCCAAAATCTTCTCTCGGACCATGATCATCCTCCTCGCGACTGTCACTTTTTTCAGCGGCGTTATCGGTTTCTTGGGTTTCCATGGACGGATCCATGATTGTTCAACAGATAATACAAAAGTTTGAAAAAACTGCAGCTTAAAAGCTTGTTTTTTCCTCCAAAGCACAGAGATTAAAATCGGATCCAAGGGTTTATTTCCCCTTTCAACTGCGCGTCGGTGCTTCTGTTTTGCAGGAAACAGATGTAACCTAAAATCGCTGTTTTGTTGATGGTTGTTCGAATATCGTTTTATTGAGAACGCGACTTTGGACTATAGGCATTTATTTGGTTCAATAATTTGATAATCATTATGTAAATTGAATTTTGTTGACAGATACATTCTTTTACCCATATTAAAGTGGCATTAGATTTCACACAAATTCTTGTATTAGGTAGTATAATAGTAGACGGACAACTATCATATGTTTTAACAAAAATGAATATTTTGTGTTTGTTATTTCTAAAAATATGAGATTTTTAATTTGAAAGTACAATTATTTGTTGAAAAATTATAATCATCTGATAATATAATTATTTAATTGTTAGGTATGTTGTTAGAGCGCTGAAAATGGTCACCATATTCAAATTCTACGTTTTTAATTGGTCAAGTCCACCTTACACAAAACAATAAACAACATATAAAAGTATTTTATTCCATTTTCCTAAATTTATATATATATCAATTCTATTAGTGAAACTCTTGTATTGAAATATTAAATTAATCTTTATAATAACAATAGAGCAAATTAACCCTTATTATTCTCCTACCACCACAACAGCAATCACATTAAACACAAAACCACATTTTGAAAGTTGACAAACACACCCACCNAAATAAAACTAAAAAATTCAAACTGAAAAATACAAAAAAATAAAATAAAATAAAAAATCAGTGTTCGTAGTACGGCCTGAGGAGGGGCACGAGCTCGCCGCTCAGGTGGAGCGACATCACCTCATTTGTGGACCCGACGAACTCGCCGCCGACGAATACCGCCGGCAGAGGTCCGCCGGAGCCCATCCTCACGAGGGCCCTCTCGATCTCCTTCCCCAGCAGCGGGTCCTCGTCAACGTCGTACACCAGCGGCCGGGCCCCGATTTCTTGGAAAAGCATCTGCACGGCGTAGCTCAGGCAGCAGCTGCTTTTGCTCAGTATCAATATTCCGTTTTCCGACGCCAATTTCACTATTGTCTCCATTAATTTTCGTTAGATTTGCAGTAAGAAAGAAAGGGGTGAGAAAAAGGTGGAGCTTTTGATTGTGAATGTGGGTTTGTGGGGAAAAAGGGGACCAAATTGACAAAATTGGGGATTTTTTTTGGTTTTTTGGAGTTTGGGAAGTAATGGAGGATTAATTTAAGGTGGTTTGCATGAAATTGAGATGTTAGGGCTGTATTTATATAGGAAAACGCGTATTAGTGTGTGTAGGGTTGGGTAATTGTTAGGTGAGTCAACCTGGTTATATATTTGTCAGAAAAATGTGTAATTCATGTTATGAAATATCATAGTTTTGTGTTCATTGTTATGTAGAGTAAGATATTTCAGTTTGGAGAACTATTAGGCAGATCTAGGCCTGTAAACGAGTCAAAGTCGAACTCGGGTTTAGGATGCTCGAGCTTGAGCCCTGAGACGAGTTCGATCATTAATGAGGCGATCTCGAGTTTTATCGAGTCGAATTATATAAAATTATATAAAAAATCTTTCTCGGACCTTAACGAGAGGAGCTCGACCAAACGAGCTTTAAATGAGCTCGAACTTTGCTCGTTAAGGCCTCGAGCTCGAGTCGAGAGATACTCGTTTAATTTAACAACACTAGTCAAATCTAACCATTAGACAATGATACTATATTAATAAATATACATGTTTCATGCACAAATGACATACTTAAATAAAACATAAATAAAAGTATAATATTTTTCAATACAAATATACATTTTTGTTTATAAAGTATGACGGGTCGACTTGTCTATATGACCTAACCCTAAAATGTGTGTTGTTGAAACTGAAATTAGTAGTACTTGTACAGTAAAAATGAAGAAAAATGCTACAAATACATAATAAATGTATATAGAGGTGTACATAACACTCACATGGAGTGAGGTCCATTTAATTTTTATTTTTGGTAGGACCCAGTCAATGTGAGTGTTATGTACACCTCTATTGATATGGGATATTATATAGCTGAGGAATAGACCGGTTTGCATCATCGGTCGAGCAAGCTCGAAGTGGAGAAAACCGAATTGGTCGAAGGATGATCGACCAAAAGGGGAGGAGATCGAACAGAATAGCAGAACTGGTCGAGGATCGATCTAACGATGGGGGGTTCGATCAGATCGAGCACCCAACAGGTGAAGAGCAGTAGTCTAGAGCGTGGCTTGAACGCGAGAAAGCGCGTGAGCGGCGTTAGAAGATCCTAACAGCATGTGCAGAGGAATAATCTCCCTCCACTCAGAGGGGCACGTGGCGAGAATACATTGGTGCAGAGCAATAGTGGCGATAACCACCTCTGACAGCTCTGACACACGCACACTGTGTGTGTACGGACGGGCAGCGCGGGTAGGACAGCTCAGCAAAATCCGGGCAGTTCCTAGGGCAGGTATCTCATTCCTATATATATATAGGAGTGGGTCTTTTCTTGGGACTTACGATTTATCCATTCTTTACTTTTGGAAAATTGAACAAACACGTACTGACTTAAGCATCGGAGGCTCTTCACCGGAAAACACCTCCGGTGTGAGAGTTCTGTGTAGGTGCGTGGCGTTCTACCGGCAAGGAAGAGGAAGGCGGACCAATTTCAAGCCGGTCGGAGTGTTTTGCGTTACCATCTATGTAAATTATTATGTACCTATAGCATTACTCAAAAATGAAACTCAGCAACAGCCAACAATCCTCCCTATATATAATTCCCGAATGTACTGAGTCTAAGTGGCAGACTCGCATGCTTCGAGATCCTAGGTGTCAAAATTTCTTGTTTCATTATTTGGCTTGGATAGATTTTTATTTAATTCAAATTGAAAAATAATTAGGTTCGTATTACCATAAATATGTTGATTTATTCATGATCATTTTAGATGTATTAATTGTATTTAAAATCATTTCCTATTATAACCATTGAATTATAAATATATTTTAAAAGTTAATAACTTTTATATTTGTTATCGGTTTTACATATATAATATATCAAATTAATCATCTTTTGATGAGTTTTGATTTGACATCCATATTGTATATATAAAATAAATAAATTATATTTATCTTTATAATAATAATAAAATTATTTATTAAAATTAATTAGAAAAATAAAATTATCTCTCAATTAATATATTTATGTTTAATGTAGTTATATGATATAAGTTAAAAAAATTATTATAATATAACATAGATAAGTCGCACAAGTAACAAATGTCATATTAAATATATAATAATATATTTTTTTATAAAAAGTATTAAAATTTCAACCACTTTTTCTCATTAATTTTAAATTTTAAAAAAATTAATTTAGCAAGCACTCGTGTAATACACGAACATACACTAGTTATTTATGAGTACCAGATCAGTTTGGAGTGTGGCTTTTTAGATTGATGCCAAAAAAAACAGCTATAAAGGTGCATTTTTTTCCTTCAACAAAAGATACCAAATCTAATATTTTGCTTGTCCCAAGTTGAGCGTGGCAGTTTTATTCTAGGCCTGTTTGAAAAGGGGTCCAGTTTTTACAACACTGGCTTAATAGTTGATCATGTGGCAATTGTTTTACACAGACAAATTTAAAAAATAAATTATAATAATTTGGCTAATTTTGCAAAAATATTCGTGAATTTGGATCTCATCAAACTCATTACAATAAGTGACGATTTCATTAAAAAAAGTTACACTAATCACCACATCATAATAGAAGTAAGTGTTGGAAATAATGGATAACAATAAAGAAAGAGACACTCAACAACACTCAAATTATGTTATTAATATTTCTCTCAAGAACAATAATATGTAACACAAGGCTCAAACAAGCTCTTTGGAACTTTGTCCAAAAACTCTATTTCCTCACTCTCTTGGAAATCTTTAAGGAACACAAAAAATGGAAATGGATTTTGGGATTGATCAAGCCTTCTACTTTTCTTCATAAGATTTCACAAAGAAGAGAAGTATATATAGGTGTTATTTGTCATATGTGGTTACATGTGTAAGAACTCTTTACAACTCATCTTCTTTAATGAGATACATTAATCTTATTAAGTTGCAACTTGTTTAATTAATTCAAAATTAATTAAACTCATAAGTTTCAAGATTGTGAAAGTGAAACATATCCACATGCATTGTCTTGAAACTTATCCTACATGTATTGTGTTGAAACTTATCCAACATTCAAGCAATGTGTAACATTTTACACTCATGCAAGTTTCATCTTACATCCATGCATGTAACCCATCTTACATTTATTTTATATTAACCAAAATATAACTGTAAGACGACTCAACTTGATCAACTTTGAATGTAATTTTGAACGAGCAACGAACATTGACTGAGTTGAATTTTCATGGGTACATAACGTCTCGAAGACAAATCCAACTGTACACGATGCTGCAATTACACTGTACAGAGAAAATGCTGAAATTATACTGGACAAAGAACAACGGGCTAAAAAATGATATGCGCGGAGAATGTTCTACAAAAAATTGAATGAGTAAACGAACTTTGATTGGGTGAAATTTTATGGATACGACCATCTTGATAAGACAATTGATCCAACGGTAGGTCCATCGACCAGATTGGACCTGTAATCTTGTAATTGGACTAAAATAGAAAAGGCAACTCTAGATAGAGTGATTAGCGCATTATTTAGATGAATTTACCAATTTATTATAAAGATTTTGATAAGGTTCGAGTTCATAGATCTTGACCAATTTAGTTTTAACTTTTTCCTAAATTTTGTAGGATTTCTAGATATGTACTATAGCTAGTTATATGAACCGTATAAAGAAGCTAAATTTGTTTGATGATCTAGATATACTTACTTCTCTCAATATACTGAATTGCAATTAC